AGTGCCGCTCGCCTGGCTGCTCCCAGCGCCCGGCTTTCTCTAGCAGATGGGATGGCTCCGGGCGGTAGGGAGGTGAGGTGGGAATTAGGCAGCCTTTCTGCCTCCGGTGCCTGATGCGAGGAGAGGGCTTTGAAACTCTTGACACTGAATTGAAGCTCTTGACACTGAATTGGTGACCCGTTTGAAAGGGTCTGTGGAAGAAGAGGTATGTGCTATCCCTCCTGCGGCGTGCCAGCAGGCACCCCCACCAGAGTCCCATGCCTGCAGAAGGCAGGATGGCCCCTCTGCCCTCTCCTTGCCCGCAGGCAGAGATGCTTCCCTTCGGTGCTCACCTGAGCTTCTCCATCCCCACCTCCCACCTGCACCGTCTGCATTTGCTCCAGCAAAAAGCTGCCTTTGAGGTCTCCCCAGTGCCGCAGCACATGCACCAGTGGGGCCGTGCCTCTGGCAAGCAGCCAGCTGAGCCGGGAACTGGCCGAGAACACCGAGCCATGGTGCCTGCAGACTCAACAGCGCCTTTAGCCCTCCCTGTATAATGAGGGAAACCCAGGCCCAGAGCTGCAGGGCGGGAGGCTGCAGCCACAGGGTTCTGGCTGGGGAGGAAACCCCCAGCTCGGAGCGGGGCCAGCTGTGCCAGCTCTGGCTGACGGCAGTGCCTGTGGCACGCAGGGATCGATCGCACACACAGCTTTTCCCGAGGAGGCAAGCCCGGCTGGGCAGGAGAGGTGGAGAGGGGAGCAGAGCCAGGCTTGGGCGTCCCCGTGCCCAAAATGGCTCAAGGCCATTGCAGCCTGGGGGCCACCAGTGCCCCAAGGTCAGACTGAGGGTTTTATTGGGGATGCATTTGCAGGGATGTATTTGGGATGCATTTGCAGGGATGTAATTGGGATGCATTTGGGATGCATTTGCAGTCCCAAGTACTGCCACGACAACCTTGTGCAGCCACCCCGAGGATGCAGGCACGGGGCCACAGGAGGAGAGCTGTGGCTGTGAGTGTCTGTCCCCTTTGCCAGGCTGGGCAGCGGG